ATTATAATAATAGGCAATTTTTTTTATTATAGTGACACAATAATCTGCTGGAGTTAGATAAGAACGTGGCGTCCCATATAAACCATAATATTATTATAATATTGAAAATAATATTTAAAACAACTAAAGTAAATGTAAATAATGATAATAACAGTTACTTTTTAATTATAGGTGAAATAATCTCCTAGAGTTTGGTTGGAATGTGGTGTCCCATAACATATTATTATAATATTAAATAAAACAAAACAAAAAAATAAATTAAATAAATAAATAATTATTATTGTTTGTTTGTTTGAAAGAAAAATAACTACAAATATATAATCTATTAATATTTTTGGAATTTTTAAAAAATGTGAATGACATCACTATATGTCCTTCTTAATTATAACTTATAATTTTTGTTGTATATAGTCCTCAAACTTTTTTTTTTTATTTTACATATAAAATTTATTATTTTGTAGTATATAGTCCTCAATGAACCTGGCATTAAAAAGCACTGCTGTAGTACTCGAGACTCGGACTCGGTCTCGAGACCATATTTTAATGGTCTTGGTTTTGTCATGGACTCGTGTGCATTTGGACTCGGAATTGACTCGTACTCGAACATTTTTTTTTTTTAGGACTCGGACTTATTCCCGAGTCCACTCGAGTTCAATTCAAAATATTTTTCATGATTATTAATGTATGTTAATAAAATATTTCTTTAAATTGATTGACACGCCCAGTGATTGGTGATTTTCTAATGCGCAACTGTGCATAACAAATTGCAATAAAATTACTTTTAACACCACCTACTAGGTGGCCTTTTTACCCTAAACTGATCATATTTTTTAAACTCTAAGTAAATTCAGTAAAAAAAAAGGATTTCTCTTAGTAAATAAAAGTAAATTAGGTAATCAACCCTCACTGGTCACGGACTCGACCGTCTCTGGTCTCGGACTCGACTCGGACTCAGCTCTCTATGGACTCGGTCTTGACTCGGACTCGACTCTCTCTGATCTCGGTCTCGACTCGGACTCGGGTGAGGTGGTTTCGACTACAACACTGGTAAAAAGTCTTAAATTCAGTTTAAAAATTTAAAATGAAAATGGGAAATGGGATGTTATGTTTTCTATTACATTTATTTAATGCATGGATTGATTCTAACAGCGATCCACAAGCTCACGGCGTTGAATCTGTGATATAAATATCTATTTCGGTTTTCCTTGCTTGTCTTTAACTGATCACATGCCTGATATTGGTTTATGTACATATTGGTTCATGTAATACTAATAATATCAATCCATACAAATTAAAGGTCGATTGATATTGGAGCACTGATATAACATTTATTTTGAAAATATACACATCATCCCATTTGACAGATGTGGAATGACTTAATTTTCTTCCACAGAACTGCTAAACTAGCCTCTGGCCAAAAGAAACACCTTTTGTTTGAAGTGCAGCCTGGATCTGATTCAACTGCTTTATGGAAGGTTGCTGTGAGAATAGTGTGCACCAAGGTGAGATCAATGTAAAGACCCATACATTTATCAGTGGAATATATTATTATAATTACAATGAAGTCAAGCAATAGACATTAGTCATTTTCTCTGCATGGTTGATGTTTATCTAGGGTGGGATGGCAATTGTTGCTGTTCTCTCTGTCCTTGTAGATTAACAAGGAGAATGGAATGGTGGAGGCCTCCCGTATTATGAACCTGTACCAGTTTATGCAGCTCTACAAAGACATCACCAGTCAAGCAGCTGAAGTCTGGAGTTTAGAGGTGGCAGCAGAAGGATCCTCAGGACCGCTGTCATCAGAAGACACCTGTCAGGCCAGCATGTGGATGGGCAGGTACTTTAGAGACTGCATTTGTTTGCCAAATCTGCACCGGATGTAATGATGCATAATGGATCACTCATTGTCTCACCCAGCAAAATATGCCATTTGTGCTCTGTAACAGGGTTAAACAGTTGACTGATGAGGAAGAATGCTGCATCTGTATGGATGGCAAAGCAGACCTTATTCTGCCCTGCGCACACAGCTTCTGTCAGAAGTGTATCGACAAGTGGTAAGAATCATCTGCGATTTATTATCATGACTGATTAATCGATTAGTTCACCCAAATAAGGAATTACTTGCCCTTATATTGTTCCAAATCTTTATGGCTTACTTTTGTCCGTGGAACAAAAAAAAGGAGGTAATCTGATGATGAATTCTGGTCAGGGATTTAGGCTTTCAAGCTCCAAATGAATAATTTAGACTGACTTAGTGAATTGAACGTGCAACAGTGCCACGTTTTGACCCCACCTTTTGACGTTTCACATTAAAGTCGGCGTGAAATCAGGAATGGAGCCTTTTCACGGACTGGGATGACACGTTTCCTAAGTTATCATTATCATCGTAAATCTAGTTTTTCCCCATATTCATTTTAAATTTTTAAACCAAATTTAAGACTTTACTGCCCTGTTCATTAAGCACTATATACTAACTAACTAACTAAAATATATATATATTTATTTATTTATTTATTTAGTAGTATATAGTCCTCTCAAATTTTATATATATATATATATATATATATATATATATATATATATATCGTATAACCATACATGCGGTTTTAATTGATCATAGCTGTCCATATGCCAGAGTGTATTTGGGCCAGCGCTGTCTTTTATCAGTAAAGTTCTGCACGGGAAAATTCAGTGACAATTTTAATGCTATACATTACTGCTAAAGTTATTAGTATTTCTTTGTAACTGAAATAAAGTCTAAAATATAGCTTGACTAGTGATCCAACTCTGCCACGTCCTCTATTAGTTGGCTATGCAATGACCACTGATCGAATGCGTTTTTCTCTACATTTCATTTAGACTTTTATTCTCGAAACACAACGACTTTATTCTCGAAATTTAATGCGTTTATTCTCACGATTATTTCAAATTTTTTCTCGAAATTTAACGAGTTTTTTTTTCTCGAAACACGACTTTATTCTCGATATTTAATGAGTTTATTCTTAAGATTGTATTTAAACGTTTTTTTCTAGAAACACGACGACTTTATTCTCTAAATTTAATGAGTTTATTCTCAAGATTGCATTTCGACTCCCTTTCTCGAAATTTAACGAGTTTAATTTCGCATTATAATGACCATAATCTCGAGATGGTTTTATTTTTTTATTATTGCTTGGCCCTAATCCTCTTCCGTAAGTTTGAGAGCTTCAGTCCTCTTCATTTTTGTTATTATCAATTATATGGGGGAAAAAAAGTAAAGTGGAAAAGGACAAACTGATTTGGAACAACATTATGACAATAAATAATGAAAGAATTCACAAATCATTTTAATCAGCCATGACAAACCCTGTGCTATTGTGTGTCTATGCCTCAATATAGGAGCGGTCAGAGCCGAAACTGTCCCGTCTGCCGAATTCAGGTGACTGCCGCTAATGAATCATGGGTCATGTCAGATGCTCCCACGGAGGAAGATATAGCTGGGTACATTCTCAATCTTGCCGATGAAGCTGGGCACCCACACAGACCTTAAAATGAAGCACTGTGCCACCGTCAAACTCTTACCGTCTCCCCATAACAGATGAGCTTAATTAAATACTTGTTTTATTGGGTGACTGGGTATTTGTTGCACTATATAGTGTCATTCACTGGAGGCAATAACTGCTGATTACTTGACTTTTTGTTTTGGTCATTATAACACTTAGTCAATTGACAAACTGGGTTTGCATGTTGGTAAATTCTAGACAACATGTAGCTGTAAAACATAATTCCCTCGTTGCACTTGCCGTTTTATCTTGTTTGTGAAGTAATTGCACTTAATCACATTTGTCCGTAAAGACCTTGTAATACCTGAAAAAACATCACAGTATCAGCATGTTCAACAGTTTAATTATATTGTTCACACTATAATTCAGTCAAAAATGATTTAGTAATGTTTATGTTGGTTTATAATCTATGGTTTAACAATAATTACAGTGATCCATTTGACATGAACTCTTTATCTGTGTAAGTTGGACTAAATGTTAATTATAGGGCATGAATGTTATATTACATTCATTTTGAAAAATATTTGGATCGTTCAAATGGATTAACATTTGAGAATTAATTTATTTCCTTGTTTTCTTCTGAAGCTAAATAGGTTGCAAATGAAAGCTTTATTTTATAGGCCATCACTGACACTTTCAGTGGAGGTTGGTTACATTTTAATTTAATTTAATTTTTCACTTTGAGATCCTAGAATTTTCATCCTTGCACTTGTGTGTGTATGAGAGAGACTGTGAATTTGTGGACTTGTGGAAGTCACTTGTATTATAAAAGATATGATAATGTATAGCTCAAATTTTCTACATCTATTTACAGTATATTAATTTGTGTGGCAGTTTATGATGATTTAATCCAGTTTATCAAGATCTACTAATCTAGTTTTAAAAAAAGTTAATTTATGCAATATTCTCACAGATTTATAGAGATTGGACTGAAAGTTAATAGTTTGATCAGATAAAATAACATTATTACTGCTTTACTAAATAGTGTTGTTTTTAAGGAGATTTATTTTACTTATGGATTAAATTGGGGTGTTTGATGTTCAAAGTTCTGTCTTGTGTAAATCTTGAACAATAAAGTAAATTGAAATTTGTTTTCTAGTTAGTTTGTTTAAAAACTTCAAGAGTTTGTAATACTTCCACTGGGCTGCAGTGTCAAGCAAATAAAGAATACTTTTTCTAATGATCTGAAATATGAACTACAATCTCATGATGAAATGATTCAGCAAGGCTTTTGTGACACCACTTTATTTATTTTACTTTGAGTGCAGTATTCAGATATTGTCGAAGATATGAAGCATTTACGCATGTTTGAACAGGTGGCTTTTCAGAGGCCAAACACCCATACATTATACAACATCCTTACAACAGTTTAACCATCATTGTTGGTGTACAAAATGTGAAAGTTCAAGTAGTATTTGTGTATTTGAAAGTGTATTTGTGCCAAAAAAAAAAAAAAAAAAAAAAAAAAAAACCTGCCCCAGAATCTCAGGTTGCAAACAAACTAGTTTATCAAGGCAAATTTGAATTCCTCTTCCTGGGACTTTTTTTTTTTACAAAAACATTTATCTGAAAAAAAAAATAATAATAATACATTGTTCACATCAGAAACCCGAAGCCAAGACAACAAATGTATGCTCCCATTTTCAGAAACCATGCAAAATACTGCAACAGTTTATCAGAAAGTCCCATATTTTTTTTAAAGAATTGATTTGAGAAATAAATATATACACATTAGGCACTATGATAAGGGATATGCCCATCATATAAGGCATTAAGTCACATGACCCCACATTAGCAAGATAAAGTTTTATGCTGATGTCTGGTCAACTCGTATGGACTCATGTTCATTATCGATCACCCTGCCATGTTTACGGGGCTTGTGCAGCCAACGCTTCTGATTTGACGGCATCCACTAGGAAGCTGAGCTCATTGCACAAGGTCTCGTGACGATAGGCCACACGGATTTGTGCCACATTTGTCATACGGATGTCATTACCCTCCGGTCCATCCTGTAGATAATTCTCACCCAGGAAGTGCTTCTTCTCCTGCAAGGGAAATCTAAATGTCAGCTTTTACAAAAGCTAATGTTAAATTCAGCATTGGAATGCATTAAAAATTAGTACTAGAAAAATGTTCTGAAGGAAACATTACAGGTTCAGTAGAAGTTAAGCCCAATCAACAGTATTTTTTATTTTATTTTTAGAACAGTTCAAACTCACTGGCTGTGTAAAACAGTGGCTTGGCTCATTATACTATTAGCAAAACGGCGTAAAATAACGCGCACTCTGTTCAACCAAATCTGTGTTTTTTACTCCGTCATATGGGGAGATGAACAGTATTTGACGGGGTTTGGCTGTAAACGCGATTAATCTAAAAATATAAATGTAAATCTGACCCCCTTTCCATACCTCATAGCTCGCCTACATTAGAAATAAATAACGAAACTGAGCGCGCAAAGGACGGGATATGAGAACAGGCCCTAACGGATTACAGTGTTATTTAGGCTAATGGAGTCGTTTTTTTATGTACTTCTACTTTAAGAAGTTTTTAAAATCTGTACTTTCACTTAAGTACAGTTAGGTTACATTTAGTTTAAAGTATTGTACTTCGCTACATTTTAAATCATATTGAAACTACTGCATTAATTGAAGGGCGGGAGAACAAACGCGCGCGCGCAAAAAAAAAAAAAAAAGTGATAGAAGCAGCTGAAAGCTATTATTGCCAGTATGGAAATACTTTGTTGAAAAAACGCGATAGATATCCAATTAGTAAAAAATGTGGACGCAAAGTGGCTGCAAAAGGAGGATCCATAGGACACCATCCCTCCAGCAGATAAAGGTATGTCCCGATTATAATTTAAGGCCGAATGATTTAACGTTAAGTGATGAAGAGGAAATCCTGTAATCCAGTCGTGGATTTACATAACGCAGAGTCACTTAAAACAAGCAAAATAATGGATGGATGAAACATGAAAAGTAGAGCTGTGCAATAAATCCAATCACGACATGGTATGTGAATATTTAATCACAAAAGTACTATGTGTCATGGTGTTTTCAGCCATGTTTTCAATTTGAGGATATGAATACATTTCCAGAGCTGCTCTCTGAGAGAACGCCTAAAATACACTTTGGAACAGGTCTTTACTACAACCTGTCAAAATAAAAGTTCGGTTTACTAACGTTACTAGGAGTAGTTCTAACTCTCAAAATAATAATAATAACAACAACAATAATATTAAATTTTATTTAAACAATATTTAAAGGAATATTTTTTGTCCATGGTTTGATTTAGTAAATCTGTTTTTGCAGCTCTTCCCAGAAAAATAAAAGGACAAAAGTTTAAATTTACATTTAATTACCACCGTTATTTTAATTTAGCTGTCATTTTAACTGATAATAATTATAATAATAATAACCTTAATTTAATAATTCATTAATACTGTAAACCGTGATGTTTTCGAAGTTTCCCCACCCCACTGTTAAATACGTGACTCAGTAACTTTTACTCTGAGTACATTTTAAGACGGGTAATTTTATTTGTACTTAAGTAAAATTCATTGAGGTAGTAGTACTTTTATTTCAGTAGAATATTTTATTACTCTTTCCACCTCTCGTACTGGGCCACACACTATATATGACTACACCATACACTGTAAAAAAAACACTTATAGGCATACCATAGTGATTCAGAATAAGACTAAACACTGTTTCGAGATGGATGCATGATGTACTCACTCATACATTTTGAACAAATGTTTTGTTTTTTTTAACAAACGAGGACGAGCTGAAATTATTTGTAAATCAGAACCTAGAATAGCCTATTAGAGGTTAAGAAGACAGAGAGAGAAAGTACCTGATGAGACAGACCGCCCTGAAGCACACTATTTCTGGCGATCTCACACACATCGCATGTGCTCAGTTTCCACAATTGTGCTGCTATGGCATACTCCTCCATCAAGGCCTCCTAAAGGTACAGACAACAGAATCACATCATCTGACTGCTCAAGATGATCACACTCAAAGTAGATTAATAATTAACTCATTCAGTGTTGGCGGCGTCATTCACAGGAACTGCTTTCCCAGACCTTTGTGTAGTGGAACTGTAATGGGTCATCTGTGGAGAGGGACACACACAGGCCCTTTTGCAGGAACTCCCTGAGGGGATTTTTGGAATACGCCAGGAACAGGCTATTATTACTGAGTGGAGACATGGCAATGGGCACCTGGGCCAAGTAAAACAGGTACTGCAGCACAGGACTCTGTATTGAGAAATGAACAACAACAATGTTAAACCACTAGAAAATACTACATCAGTACAACATAGTACTGATGATTTGCAAGTTTATTTTGTGCGTTTGTGTGTTTTAAATTACTCCTTTCTTACATGACTCAGTAATAATGATGGCCAGTTGGCAGAACTGCCACTTGTCCTATTGGGTCAGTATTGTATTTTTTTTCTCAACTAGGTGAATCTATCTGTCTACATAGATGATGGGTGGTCTTTTTTTTACATAAAAGATTTTTATACAAAATTGCATTTTGAGAGCCGTTTCGGAGCCGGTGCCTGCGCGCAAACCATATCTGTGTTTCGACAGCCAAAGAACCGTTCTTTTACCACGTCATGCTTACGTCGGGGGTTGGGGCGGGTTTAGATGTGTTCTAAACATCTTTTCTGACCATCTAACTTTGTAAAACCATCTAACTTTGTAATTGTTATGCTTGAAGTTGGCGCAAGTGTTTCTTTTTTATTTTTTTATTTTTTTGAAAACATTATAAGCAAAGAAGAAAACAATCAAAATACAGAACAAATAAATGGAAAGAAAAAAAGACACAAGACAGGGATACATAACTAATCAGAAAATATTACATGTCAAAAGAAAAGATTAAAAGACTTAGATATTTCAATTGTTTTTAAAGCCTTCTTGCTACACGAGTTAGAGATAATCCAAAAGTAATGTTGTACTTGCAAGCATTTCTAGCTAAGACGTATGGCGACGTACACAGTGACGTAATGACATCGTTCCCTGGGCGCTCTAGTCAGTGGAAAAACAAACAGGTTCTGAAAGGGTTCGCAAGTTGAACCAACTCCGAACCAACTTTGAACCAGCACCAGTTCCGAACCAGTTCTTTTTTTGGTGGAAAAGGGGTACTTGTGTGCCATATATTTTTTAAACTATACATTTACAAAATAATCATTTGTAATACAATTTAAATTCTTGCCAAGGAGCTTAATTGCATCCCTGTCACACAGTGTCATAGACTCTCTTAGGCTATTTGTCAGTGTCTGATTTTGCAAAGGGACACAGTTCTGTTAAGCCAAAATGAGCAGAGATGCCTTGTACGAGTGCAAACTGTGCTTCTGCAGATTTATTTGTAATTATAAATTTGAATTTATGCTTTTATTTTTTTGGTGGCAGTGAACATTACGCCAAACAGGGAAAGCTGAAACAATCCTTACTGTTGAAAGTGGTGTAATAATTGTTTATTTAGTGGATTCTGAACTACACTGCCTATGGGTGCAATGTTGTGTGGTTTGATGTGAACAATTCGTTTTAGAGATAGAGACTGACCTTCTTGAGGTTGAGTCCGTGAGAGATGTTGTCAGCCGTGAGGAAGGCTGACACCAGATGGGTGATGGATCCTGCCTCGCCACAGTGAGGACGGAACTGGAAGGTATTGAGACCACGTTCCCTGCAAAAAACATTTTCACGATTTAACATGGCTTGTGACTTCAGTTAATAAGCTTGAGGCTAAATTTGAAGGGAATAGCTTGTCTTGATATTAGTTTGTTCTGTGAAGACAATAGGTTGTAATCCTGAAATCAGAGCTTGATCTTTATAGTGACTTACTTGCGTAGGTTGTTGAGGACCATGATGTTGGCATACATGTGGAAGAGGTAGTAAGTGTATGGAGGGTTTTCCTCCATGGTCCACTCTTCCGGTTTTGGACTCTTATAGGTGAATAAGTGATCACTATGTTTGGATTCATCATCCACGCTGTCAAACCCTGTCACCTGCAGAAAAAACATAGAAAGCTTTTTTTTTTTTTTACATCTTTTTACAGCCACTTTTTGCCCTCATTTTCCTTGAAAGTTGCAACTTTATATTTACATAAAGACTAGGCAAGGTGGCGTTCCATTGACTTTGACCATCCTTTGAAAAATCGACCTCACAATGAATAGAATACATGTGAGTTGGGGAATTAACCATATGAATGTTTTGTTTTTTGTAAATGACAATTGGACTCATATTCATCTGAAATCTATTTATTTGTTCATAATGGATTTTGCAATGAAGTCTTGATTCCCTTCTAAAGTGACTGTTTTGTGTTTAAGCTTTTTAACTCTTTCACGCGTACAATCACACCGGTGTGATCAGTTTTGGCGTGTCCCTGCAGGGTGTGATTAGAACGGTCAGTGTATCACGTCATCAACTGCTAAATTCAAACTTTCCTTTTTTTTTTGTAACAAAACTCTGAAGCACTTACGTGTTTCAGGAAGACATGTGTTTCTTTGTGCTTCTGAGGGTTGATGGTGGCCTGGAACAGTGGGAGGAAGATGTTCTCCAGCATCTTGGCGAAGTTGGGAATGATCTTCTTTGATCTGAAAATGTCACTAAAAACAAAGTACACAAGTCAAGAATATTTGAAAAATATAGTATGAGTGGAAACATCATATAAGTGCATATATTGTACCATTCAGAATTTAATTGAGAATGCCTTGTAAGTTCATTAAGTTTAACTGACAAGGATAAAAGGATACAGAATTGTCATTTGAATTTTGAAAAACTTTCATACATTGGTTTGAACATTAGGTAGCCTAATATTAAAAACCTTGGTCTACAACCAAAATGCTTCTAAAATAAATAGTCAAACTTTACTAATTCTGGGTCACTGAGAACGAAAATAATGCTTAAAGGGATACTCCACTTTTTTTGGAAATAGGCTCATTTTACCACTCTCCCAGATTTAAACAGTTGAGTTTTACCGTTTTCAAATCCATTCAGCTGATTTTCTGATATTTAGAAGAATATCAGTAACCAGACAGTTTCTGATCTCATTGACTTCCATAGTAGGAAAAAAATATACTATGGAAGTCAATGAGACCAGAAACTGTCTGGTTACTGATATTCTCCAAATATAAAAAGAAATTGGCTGAATACATTCGAAAATGGTAAAACCCAACAGTTTAACTCTGGGGGAGTGGTAAAATGAACCTATTTCCCAAAAAAGTGGAGTATCCCTTTAAAATTGTCGATTGGCTCTAGTTTTCAAGATGCTATTAGGTCAGTATATGACCCTTGACTTGGGAAAGGCAGAGGCTACCTGAGTAATAAAGCGAAAGGATCTCAGTTTAAACCTGAAATGCCTATAAAATACATCTTTGACTGGATCTATAAATAACTGTGAACAGTACTTGGTTAGGCAAAACAATAAATGATTCAATCTGAAGCTGATATTGCATGTCATTGAAGGATGATCCAAACATAACAATGCTCACATTACTCTGCTGAACAAATTGCCCTGATAAACTGAATTCAAAACTGAATTCCTGGACGGCCACAGCCCTGCAGAGTTTAGTTCCAGTGATGGTCCAACAACATGCAATCCTGTAGTTCCCTTTCAAGAGAACTTGAGCTGTGTCTGAGAATTCAATGCTATGGGAATGCCTCTGTGTTACTGCTGCTTGGCTGCACGTGTGAACGTCAGTCATGTGAACGCCATAGGTGGGTATCTTCTGTCTTCAACAAGTGCTCTCTGTGAAATCATCTATTTGGTGTTTGTCTGTCACATACAATTCTTTGTATGATTGTAAAATGGTAAAAAGACAGCATTTTAAATCGTCTGGCCGGTCGAGAAGCAGGAAGTTTGTTAGAAAAGGAAGCTAGCAGAACACTTCCTGCCCTCGTTTGGGGGAAATGGATTTCACCATTTCCCTTCATGGGCTGGGTCTGTGGAGATGTCATAATTTCTCCTGGCACATAAACTGCGTGGAGTTTATGGTGGTGTTCCTGGCGCTGAAACACTTCCTCTCAGACCTCAGGGGCCACCATGTTCTTGTCCACACAGACAACATAAATCGTCGGCTTCATAAATCATCAGGGGGCCTGTGGTCGCGCCCGCTTGTGCACCAGATCCTTCTGTTGGCTCACGGAAAGCTGCTTCTTATGTAAGTAGTTTGGCCGGACGGATGTGGATTTGTTCGTGTCTCGAGAGACGACATATTTTCTGCTTTGGTTGTCCCTCACTCATCCCCCCATGGTACAGGCAGTTCGCGTAAAGGTGCCGGCCTGTGACTTGGCCCGTGGTATTGGAAGGATTAATCCTGGCTCCCTTCAAGCCTCTTGAGGAGGTTCCAGCAAAGTTTCTGACACTCAAAAAGCTATTAGGTTTCTCCTTTGTGTTTGGAGTTTGCTCCAGGTATAGTGAAAGACTTTCTATACCCTAGACCGGGTTATGTTCCTAAGGTCCCCAGTAACGTGGGCAGAGGCTACTGCAGGCCTTTTGCCCTTGAACTTCAGACCTGGAGAAAATGAATATGCTTTGCCCATTTAGGGCACTAGATGCGAATGTCCACCGCTCTGCTGTGTGAAGCAAATCTGATCAGAAGTTTATTTGTTTTAGGTCACCCAGGAAGAGGTCCCCAGTATCTAAGCAGAGGATGAGCAAGAGGATAGTTGAGGCTATCTATTTTGCGTACGAGTCAGCTGGCCAGCCTTCACCTATGGCTGTCCGGGCCCACTCAACCGGGCTATTTTATCGGGAGTTTTCCTCCAAGATCTATGTCATGTGGCGGGCGTGCCCTCTCCGCACACCTTTGTGAGGTTTTATAACTTGGATTTGGGCTGTACACCAGGGTCCCAGGTGCTGGTGTCTCAGTGCTGCTCTTTACGATTTCACACAAGACAGGCGTGGGTATGAACGTTCCCTCAATGTCGAATTCTGATGTAGCGTGAGGTCCCTTGAAAAGAAACGTGTCAGGTTATGACCGTTGCGACTGTTACGGCGCTGTGTCGCCCTGCCACACTTCCTGCATGACTGTAATTGACTTGCTTAAGCCTATCAGAAGCTATTGCTGTTTGGTACTGGTATGCTTTATAGTTTCCTGGTCATGATGAGGTCACCCACCTATGACGTTCCATCATGGCATTGGGCTGATTTCACACATGCTTCACAACGCAATCACGCAGAGGTATTGCCACAGTGTTGTCTTCTGCGATGCAACATCTCGTTCCCCCTTTTTTTTTTTTGAGGGAACTATGGTTACAGTTGTAACCTGAGACCTTTTTTAAATTAGTCCGAAGGACATGATGTGCTGGATCAGGTGTGTTTACTTAGGGTTGAAGCTAAATTATGCAGGACTGTGGCCTTGCAGGAACTGAGTTTTCGAGTCATACAGTGTTGTGCTCTTATTTTTCAGTTTTGCAAAGGGACACAGTTCTGTTTTGCCAGAGTGAGCAGAGAAGCCTCGTAGTTATATATGTAATAATGTAATAATAATGCTGGACAGTGACGAGATGTTCCGTTTATGAATGCAAGAGACAAGCCAAGAAGCGCAGAGTAGACACAGATTAAGACTAATATTACATTACATATTTTTGTCATAATGTTCTCAATATATTTAATCAATTTCTTAAATATTATGAAAACATGATGTTTATTTTATATATATATATATATATATATATATATTAACATTGTCTTGCCCATTTTGCATTCCTACGTTAATTGACATTAGAAGAGGACTTACTAAATCCTAGGCACCTGTATCATCCATTTCATGTTAGGGGAGTACAACTTTTGGTTGATAAACCATTTGGACAGGCTGTCCCACTCTTCAGGAGCTCGGCCGTAAATTGAGAGACGGGGTTCTGCGTGCTGATATTTACTCTCCTCCAGGTTCTGAGCAACTTCCTGCACAATGCGATTGATTGTTACTTCACTTGACAGTTATAGTTAATTTTATCTTGTGTATCAGCATATGAGTTGATCAATTTCACCTTGATGAGACGTGCAAAATATTCTCCATTGATGTAGTTATCACTTTTGAGGTAGATCTCTCGGAGCTCACTAGCACCCACTGGGTTGTATTTGGAATTGAATTTATCAAAGCGATGAAAGGTTTGTCTTCCCTGTAACAGACAATAGAGCAATGTCTTATTGCGGCAAGATCTATTCTGCCTGAGGTTAAAGTCCTGAGGTTATCTGAAATACGTACCGCGTGTACATCTAATGAGTCCACTGTGAGATCGTACGGGTCCATTTTCAGATTGTCAAACACCTGTTTGAGCGTGAGCTTCTTTCCGTTCTTCTCCGCCACCACTCGCTCTGCTTCTGTCTTATAGGTGTACTGGATGAACTTCAGAAGATGCTTTTGGTTCATGCAGGCAGCTGCGTGAATGTGCGTATCAACCTGAGTATTCACAAATGTGTTCATTTTGAAGTAGCAGTAAATAGTGTAAATGTTAGCATTTATGCAACTTTATTTGAAATACCTTTCTGACATTATAGAAGTCTCTGTGAGGAACGCCTTTCAGTTCCTTTAACTCTGCCATCTCGTTCAGCATTTCATGTAGTTGGAACTTGGACAACATGAAGTTAAGCCTTCTGTGACAATAGGTTTTCCTAGAAAAGAGAATTGAATTCACCTATTATTGTTACTATTTTTAAGCAACAGATGCATGCAGTGTTATAAATATAATATAACCGAACTCACGTTGGTCCGTCTGCAATCATGGCAAGGACGTGGCTCAAGTCAATAGCGAAAGTTTCCAAGTCAGGATATGGCAAGCTCCGTGGCTGATCCTGTTTTAAAGCATCCACATTATCATAGACATATATGATTCCATCTTTCATCCTCAGGGAGTAGTTCAGATCCTGTGGGAGGTCTTCCATACTGTAGGGATCCTCACCCTCACTTAAAGGGGGGCAGATTTCTGTTGCCATGGAAATAAAGTATAACGGTAGTGCTGATGAATACTAATGTTGTATAATATCAATGTCCTGATATAAATAGAAACAGGACTAAATGTTTTTAGTATCACTTTCCCAAACCTAATGAACACACTACAGTCTTTAAAACAGAATAGTACCAAAGATTTAGGACAGTCTTCTCATTTCTTATGTCTCAAAGCTGTTGTCATTAGGTCTTTGAACAGTAAAGGCAGGGTAAGTGAGAAATATTTTTTGTCATGCTTGTTAAAGTCCTGATAGCAATCACTAAGTTTAGTGATCTAAACGTATTTCAATGTATCTGTGGAAGATGACATAGGACTATAAAATATCCTACCTGCCTGGCAATGTATGTATTTTTTAATACATCCGCACACCAGTGTGTTTCATGCTTTGCAGGGTTAGAAAGGCGTCATTCACGGAGGCAAGCACCGCAACCAAAACAGCAGCCACTTTTTACAGTTCTTCCTGAACCAAAACAATGTGCTTATGCTGCATTCAAGCTATAATTACTGTAATTTGGAGATGGATACCTGTGGTGTTGTACCCGGAGCTGTGCATTATTCGAATTTATGCGTTTTAGTGGCAAGACTATCAACGCTGAAATGAATCTGCAGCAGTCAGGTGGTACAAAATATATGATTGACAATTTTTTTTGCTTAATTTTTAATGACTTTTTCTCATTTAATAAGGGCGACTGGGGAAACACAAAATTGAAATGATGATATACCTAGGCTTATAAATCCAGGACAGATTTTTTAGCATCAGTGTCCTTTGGGGTCAATTTGACCCCATGCTCATTGAGCTGTATAAAATAAAATTTTACACACATTTGTTTTGGTTGTTTGGAAGATACTGAGGTTTTTATAATCTTCAAAAACGTCCCTCTGTTTGCATCAAAATGGCCTCACATGCAAGGAATTTGCAGCGTGCAAAGAATATTGCACCTGAAAGAACCATTTACCGGATCAAGAATTCAAGGGTAGGGGGTCAACTGCAGTGAAGAAGGCTTCGGGACTTCCCTGGGTGTCCACAAGTGCCAGAACACTCTCTTCCTAAATGAGTCAACTACGAAATCGTGTCACCATGATTTAAAGGGCTGTTTAAGTAGTCAACAAAGAATCTGGCTACGTTCACACTGCAGGCTGAAACAACCCAATTCAGATTTTTTTTTTGCCCCTATGCAACCTTTATCTGATTTTTTCATGACAGTCTGAATGACACAAATCCGATCTTTCCAAATGCGACCCAGGCCACTTCATTGTGGTTCAAATCCGATATGTGTCCGATCTTTTCAAATGCGACTTCATTCTGAATGGCCAGGTCACATGTATCCGACCTGCACGTCATTGATATGCGATAAATGTCATAATTCTGCGTTGAAGTAGGCGGGAATGAGAAGATAAACAAGAACTATGGCGGACAATGCTAAGACCAGTCAATGGAAGGTAAGGGGGGGGGGGGGGGGAGGGCAGCTCTATTCAGGCCTAACTCGAGGGCTTTTATCGGAACTGGGCGGTTTATGAAAACATTTCCAGCAAAAATGTCTTTAAGTATTTTAAGTAAAGTAAAGTACCGTTAAGTATTCTTCTGTGCATGAAAAAAAATCGGAATTGAGCATTAAGCCCCTGCAGTGTGAACGCAGCCATAAAGCACCCGGCATAAACCTTTTAAAAAAAAAAAGAATAACATATTCTGGAGGGTTAAATTTCTGAAGTCCAATTAACCTCAGTGAGAAAAATATGTTGGTGAATTTGAGGGTAACTGGAGGGTTAATTTGATCCTTATTATTTTAATGTTATACTCTGATTGAACACCGTCTTTCATCTCGTGTAACTTAGCAAACTCTGCTGTGTGCTTTCATGTGTCACCTTTAATTTATTAATGCATTTATGAACTGTTACCAAGCATGACATACCTGGCAGCACTTCATCCTCCTCACTCCATTTCTCATTATTGGCACTCCTTAGAAACCTGGCTGTGGTCCTCGGGAAGTGGTGATATGCCAGCCGGGAATATTTTTCTCTGATGAAGAGTGCTGCAAGCAGAGTTTTTGCTGCCTTTTCGTAGTCATCGACTGTTGTCTGTCCAAAATCATCATAGATGAATTTATTTTGTCAGCTTTTAGGAAAAGTTGGTAAGATTTTTTTGAAAGGATTATCTTATGTTTTGTTGAAACCAATACATTTTCAGCATTCTTTGATGAATGGAAAGTTAAAAAGAACAGCATTTATAAATCTTTTGTAATATTATGAATGCCTTTTAATGTCAATTTTAATCAATTTAATGTGTACTTCTAAAAGTATGTATATCAAATATTAATCACTTTATAATTGGCACTTTCTTGCTTGTTTTTTTTTCATAATTTACTCATAAACGTATTTGATTATGAAACCACACCTGTACTGGTCATGCAAATTAGAACTGAATTTGTGTCATACAGGTGCGACTTGCTTGTACTTTTTTTACATGAAATTATTTCATTGCTGTTTGACTCAAATTAAATTCCCAGCCCTGTTTATTAACTTTTTTTGATCTTTCCCTTTATATATTATATTATATCATATTTTATTATATATACTTTTAATATGCATTATTATGTATATTTAATATATAAGATATTTAGATATATTCATGTTCATTTGTGTCCTACCCCTGCGCAGTAGTCTCCACTGATGGTGACCCTCTGGAATTCTGGGATGTTCTTTGGCTTAAGGCCTGTGGCTGTGGAAGGGTTCAGTAGGGGTGAAATCACAGACATAGCCCAATCTGAAGTGATGGGGATTTGCAAGTATTGCGATCGCAACAGCTCTAAACTCTGTCTCCTAAAATGGGGCATTAAGAATAATAAATACATTTACCAAACAACAAAAGCAGAGAGTGTGGGTGTCTTTACGTAGCCACTGGTGCTCATTGGATAAACTTGAGGTAAACATCAAATTATAAAGACAAAACCCTCCAAGGCACTCGTGTGGTGAAAGTAAAAAAAAAAAAAATTAACTGGGCTAAATTGTTAAAACATGTTTTTTAATCACTTAACCCAGTTAATTAAAGGCTTTTTACATTAATCATGTGAGTGCCGTGGAGTGTTTCATCTTTATAATAATACATATTATTGAATATCACAATAATGCAAACTGCTGATTAGTTCTGCAACCTGTGGCACATTTGAGTTCACTGACCTCTTGACCGATTTCTCTGACATCTGCTCCTCAATCTCTTTGCGTAGCTCCCACTCCTTGGCCTGGTGTAAGCCAATGGGACAGTCCTCAGGGACGGTGAACATGGACAAACTGTTCATAGACTCTTCTTCCTTCAGAGCTGAAGCGTACACTTTCTCAGCCATGATTCGGACTTTCTCATCCACCTCTTGGAGAGAGATCTTAGTGAACTGACGGGAGGTGCCATCAGAAAGAATGTCTGTTCTTTCTATAATTAGCCCATGTTTTTCATCAGGTGGAACACCTTGTTATGTACATAGTGTTCATTAGCTATTCTAAAAACTTTCATTAATTTGGGCAGTACCATTTTCCCTCAGCTTCTCACAAGTTTCTATTCCACAAAATCCACAAAAAGAAACTACTGTGTTTGTGTTATGACTTATGACTGAGTTACCAACATGTTGCCAAAATCTGACAACTGACAGTCATGCTTCGAATGACATGGTCCTATTAGTAGACCTACTGTAAAACTGCCTCACTGCAAAACCATTATTGAAGGTGGTAAAAAAAATAACACATGGTAATGTGTATTTCTTGGCAGTTATGCAACTGCACACATCATGATTGTAAACATGTCCTCAAGTATCGGTCCACACAGTTCAGGTTTCACACTGCATCTTGTGCCTTGGTCTTAGTCATGTATCAATGAGGTTAACTAAGTTCATGTCATATTAGAGGCTGGATTCCCATCCCAAAGTGTCAGATGAGTGGTTGTTGTGTTCTCGGGCAGCAAAATACTTATGGTGCACAGCAAGCATTTCTTTATTTCCTCGGTAGGCAATCATAATTAGTTAAGGCACAATCATGAAGAAAGAACGACAGGAGAACTAATGTATATACAACCCCATTCCCGGAAGAGGTGGGACATTTTTATTAAATCAAGAATCAGTTTCATTTCTTTTGAAACCTTTATTTAACTGACAAAAGAAGAAAGAAAAGATTTCCAATGTTTTTACCGACCAACTTAATTGAATTCGGTATTCAACCAAATTTGCTTCTGATGGCTGCAACCCACTCTAAAAAAGTTAGGATAGAAGCTAAATTAAAGTGAAAAGGTTATAGAATGTTTTAAACTGTTTTAAAACAGTCCACTATAAAATGATGAATTGGTAATAGGTGGGGGTATCATGATTCTGTAAAGGAGCATCTCAGTCTTTGCAAGCAAAGATGAGTAATGGCTCATCACTGTAAGGGAACTATAGCTCAGATTTGGGGAATACGTATGCAATAAAACAACTAATGAATACGATAATAAAAATCACCCAAAAAAGGGGATTACATAGTCCACACCACCAAATAAAACACCACCAGCGCAGAAGAAGATTAACGCCTACTTCACAGCACTGGGCGTTTACTTCCGAGTCTTCAGTGCGAGGTGCCCATTAAAACCGAGCGTTTTCCAGCTAGGCTCAAAATTAGGGTAGAAAATAGCCTATTACTTATTAATTTTGATGTTTTTGAATGTAAAAACCAAGTGAACGTCATAAGTTGAGCTCAGACAACAATATAATAAAATTTAAAAAGCCAGTTCATGACCCCTTTAATAGAATTAACAGCACTTCATCCACCGAACTGCTTTGTTGAAGACAAAATCAAATTTTGTTTATATTTACAAAAACACAATTAAGTTGGTCAGTTGGAACATTGGAACATTGGAAATCTGTGCATTTTTTTGTCGGTTAAATAAAGTTTAAAGACGATTAACAAATCACAGATTCTTGATTTTGCATTTTACAGATTTTCTCTTCTGGACATCGAGTTGTTCATAATAATACATTATTGTTTCTAATAAAGCATGTTAAATATGGAGTCATTTTCATATTTCAGAATGCATGCACAACCAGCACTGTGAAGCAGAAGTATATATTCTATATGCAGCACATTTGCAAAGTGTAACTTTGTGGTTTAGTTTTACATGCAACAATGTAAGAAAAGGCAAAGTTGTTTTCAAACTGGTGTCTGGGTCTACAGAAAATCTGACACTTTACTAAATGTATCTTTTAGGGTTTTCAAAATTGATGATGAAAGACATAAATTAAATGTTTAATGCAAAAGTGTTTAACACATTTACATAATGTTATTGTGGTTTCATTCTGCTTTTGACAATCTGGTCAAAAATCATGACAAATTTTTTTTAGCACAGTTTTATTCAATTGGTAGCCCTAATAGTAAGGAAAAAAATTGCTTATTTTTAGCTTTATATATGCTATAATTGAGTCACACATGATTAAGTATTGTCTATAATCTAGGTTTAACAGAATAACTATATCCATTTAACATGAATTTTATTTCTGTGTAAGGAACAAATTCTAATTATAGGACATGACAATACATTTATTATGAAAAATAATTGGATCTTTCAAATGGATTAATATTGGAGAATTGACTAATGTGATTGTTTTCTTTTGCAGCCTAATTTAGGTTTGCAAATGAAACCTTTATTTTATAGGGCATCACTGACACTGTCGCTGGAGGCGTGTTGCCTTTAATTGTGTGGTGGTGTTTTTTTTTTCAGTCCTATTCATCTTGGACTTATGTATAAGAAGAGTTTGTGAATTTGTGGAAAATGTTCATTTCAGCAATATTCAGATTTATAGAGACTGGGCTGAATGTTAATAGTTTTATCAGAGAGAAAATTACATTAGCTGCTTAATGTTGTTTTGAGGGATATTTTTATTTTATTTGTGGACTAAATTGGGATGTTTGATGTTTTCAGTTCTGTCTTGTGTAAATCTTGAATATTAAAGTAATCTGAATATTTTGTTCTAGCTAGGTTGTTTGAAGGCTGCAGGTCCTAGTACTTTCATTGAGCTACAGTGTTGAGCAAATGAATAATTTTTCAATTCATCTGAAATATGAACTATTACAATCTCATGATGAAATGATTCAGCAAGGCTTTTTTGACACCACTTTATTTATTTTACTTTAAATGTGCAGTATTCAGATATTGTCGAAGATATGAAGCATTCACACATGTTTCAGGTGGCTTTTCAGAGGCCAAAAAACCATACATTATACAACATCCTTACAACAGTTTAACCATCATTGCTGGTGTACAAAATGTGCAAGTTCAAGTACACAAGTGTATTTTGTGCTAAAAAAAAAAAAAAAAAAACCCTGCTCCAGAATCTCAGGTTGCAAACAAACTAGTTTATCAAGGCAAATTTTAGTTCTAGTGCCTTTTTTTTTTTTTTTTTTTTTTAATAAAAGAATACGTTGTTCACCCAAAGACTGCCTTGTTAAGAAAAGGTAACAAATGTAAGCCGCTCCCATTTTCAGAAACCATGCAAAATACTGAAACAGTTAAGAACAACATTTTTAAAAGGATATTTGACATTTGAGATATAAAATATATCCATCACATACAAGGCACTATGGGAAGGGAGGGATATGCCCATCACATAAGGCATTAAGTCGCATGACTCCACATCTTGCTACCTGAATGATGTATATCCATGGCTCTTTTGTGCAAGATAAAGTTTTATGCAGATGTCTGGTCCACTCGTATGGACTCGTATGTTCATTATCGATCACCCTGCCATGTTTACGGGGCTTGTGCGGCCAACGCTTCTGATTTGACGGCATCAACTAGGAAGCTGAGCTCATTGCACAAGGTCTCGTAACGATAGGCCATACGGATTTGCGCCACATTTGTCATACGGATGTCATTACCCTCCGGTCCATCCTGTAGATAATTCTCACCCAGGAAGTGCTTCTTCTCCTGCAAGGGAAATATGAATGTGAGTTTTTTTATACACAAGGTTTGATGTTAAATTTAGCATTGGAATGCATTTAAGAAATATACAGCGAACAGTGTTTTTGATCTGAGTTACAGTGAGTCACTTACAATGTAAGTGAATAGAGCCAATTTATACAAATACTGTTTCAATTATATAGCCAAAAGACATGAACAAAGATGATTTGAAATCAGAACCTAGAATAGCCTATTAGAGGTTAAGAAGACAGAGAGAGAAAGTACCTGATGAGACAGACCGCCCTGAAGCACACTATTTCTGGCGATCTCACACACATCGCATGTGCTCAGTTTCCACAATTGTGCTGCTATGGCATACTCCTCCATCAAGGCCTCCTAAAGGTACAGACAACAGAATCACATCATCTGACTGCTCAAGATGATCACACTCAAAGTAGATTAATAATTAACTCATTCAGTGTTGGCGGCGTCATTCACAGGAACTGCTTTCCCAGACCTTTGTGTAGTGGAACTGTAATGGGTCATCTGTGGAGAGGGACACACACAGGCCCTTTTGCAGGAACTCCCTGAGGGGATTTTTGGAATACTCCAGGAACAGGCTATTATTACTGAGTGGAGACATGGCAATGGGCACCTGGGCCAAGTAAAACAGGTACTGCAGCACAGGACTCTGTATTGAGAAATGAACAACAACAATGTTAAACCACTAGAAAATACTACATCAGTACTGGTATCTTTTGTTTTTTTTGTGGGTTAAATTACTCCTTTCTAAGATTCTTAGCATACATGGCTCAATAATAATGATGGTCAGTTGACAGGACAATCACTCATCCTATTGGGTCAGTAAGAACATTTGTAGCACGCATCCAATCTAATAAATAATTTCATTAATTGTTTTAGCCTCGTATCCAATACTATATACATATTCCGGTCATAAAACAGGTAATTACAAATAATTCATTTCAACATGATTATTTTACATGGAAATCTGCGAAAGTGCTGCCTATTTGAAAAAAAAAATGCCCCCATTTTAAGTAGCACTGTCCCTGTATAGTTTACAGCATAAGTTGAGAGATTTTTTTGCCATGTAGCCTACTGTACCTAATAGTTCCCAATTAATCAATATTAAATCGAATGGTCAAATTTGTGTTGGCAGTGAAACCATCCTTACAGTTGAAAGTGGTGTAATAATTGTTTGTTTATTTAGTGGATTCTGTACTACACTGCCTATTAGTGCTGGGTAATAAATATCGATTTCTCGATATTAATCGATTCTCATTTTTACGGACCAATATCCATTTTTAAATCTCAAGAATCGATTAGTCATCCTGTTTCATTTGAATGAATGGAAACAGTCTCGTGGCTGCGCGCATCCTAAAAATTGCAATAATCTTTGTCCTTTGTTACTATTGATATGAAACAAAATCTCAATTTTCAAATCACGTCCATTTTCTTTAGAAATTCAAAAACATAAATAACGTTTTGGCGCTGTGGCGTAAGATCGCTCTGGCGCAGCTCAAGAGAAGCAGCCGCGCTGATCTCTCTTCCGGGTTAATAATACCAGTTACAGCGCGAAATAAACATGAATGAGCTTCTGAAAGTGTGTTAAAAGATAGAGTACAACTTATCGAAATCCGTATCATGTCACATTGATTCGCTCAATCAGCGTTTCAACCGTGGAAAGACGTCAGTTAAACAGCTTGAAATCAATGTCATCGTCATATTAACCTCAGAAAACCCACATAAACTCGTTAGTCAGCTAGAAAAAATAACTCTAGAGAGGAGCATTTTGCTAAATATATACACCATATTACATATGCATTATAATCTTAATGTTCTTCAATATTGAATGCATAT